ATTTAGTGGTTCATTTATATATTTCTGCTTTTATTTATAATTATGTCAGTGTTGGTCCTCCATACTGCAGAGCTTGGAAGGTAAAGCAGTGACTGAATCAGGTGTTGGAGCAGGAAACATGTAAAACATGCAGGGCTGCGGCCCTCCAGGACCAGGATTGCCCACCCCTGCTCTAGGGGAAACACTGGAAAGGTCTAAAAATGTTTTTGAAGATTTTTTTTTTAATTTATTGACTGATTTAAAGAGTGACTCAGTCTGTAATATTTACATCAGTTTAATCAGAAGTCATGTTGTACCCCTGYAGTAGTTTTGTWGTACAAATACACTRCATGTTTTCCTTATATTCAATCACATTTTGAACATTTTTGTTTCGGGCAGGTAAAAAACAAACAACTTGTCAAACCCTGCTTAAAACCTTCTGTTTTCTACCAAAACAACCCAAAGTGTTATGTTATGAGTCGGGTGTGTTTGTGCGAGTCGATGTGTGTGCGTTCAGCTTCACGCCCTGCAGAGGCCGAAGGCTTTGACTCTTGAGCCGGAGCCAAAGGCAGCCGTTGCTCTGAAGCCTGGGCTTGTCTCTACCTGCCCGCTGTTGTCCCCCGGCCKGCCTCCGGCGCTTTCTCACCAACGTCTCGGCTCTTCCTGCAGGATCTGTTTCGTTGTCAGTCTCAAACCTGAAAACAGCCAAACCAGAGTCTGTGCGAACGTTTGTTTCTGCAAAATGCACAAACTGAAACTTTTTTAAAAATTTTACTTACGACTTGCATCATAAAAACTGCAAAACTTAATTTTTTAGCATTTTATTTGAAGTTGCTCATGTTTCTGATGGTTATCAGAGTGAAATATGCAGCGTGTGATTTCTATCTTCAGCTGAAACACATGGGTTTGATCTCCCCCTGAAAGAACCTGTCCTCTGTCTTTAATTGGGAACATTCCTGCGTGCAGGAATCTGATCTGCACAGCCAGGCTCAGGCCCAGTAATGATGCCACCCTGGATAAAATAGAGGCATTATGGTGGTAAAAAGAGGTTCTGGCGCTGAAACACAGGCTCCATTCATGTCTGAGACCATCAGGTTGTACCTGTGCCTGCCTGAGCCCCTCTCACTCTTCCCTCATGTTGAGCACCGAAATCCACCGTTTTCTTTTTGTCATTTTCTGCAGATTCTCCTCCTGATGTGTTCTCACTGCTGCGCATCAAAACACTGAGAAATCCTGCTGGACTCCTTCATCTTCATCCTATAACACTGCACTACAAGGTCAGCTAATTTCTTTTTCTTTGTTTGCGTTTAAAGCTTTTTGTTGTGAAGAAACAAAAATATATTTATGTTTGACTCATACGTTCACATATAAACCCACTTCCTGTACGAACACATGGATGAGACGGGTTTACACTGAAAAAACTGTCCACCTAACCAAGTTTTAAAACCTTATATCAGCCAAAAAGTCTTTTTGATCTTGTTTTCAGACTGATTTACTAAACAAGAACTGATTGTGTAAGAATAATCATCTTGTTTTCAGAATGATTTACTAAA